TTAAGAAGGCAGTGGGCGTGAAGAAGGTAGAAAAGGAACTGTCGCGAGAGTTGCAAGCAGAAGGACCTATGTTTTGGCTGATCAGAATCCTGGAAAAGAGGCAGATACAACAAGGAGAGGAGGTGGTCCAGCAAATTCTGGTAGAATGGCAAGAAGGAGGCCGAGAGGGGGCGACTTGGGAGGATATGTTGACTATAAGGGATCAATACCCAGATTTCAACCTTGAGGACAAGGTTGATGATGAGGCGGTGGGTAATGTTAGGAAGTGGCGAGTGTATGAGAGAAGAAAGGCATGGCACCGAACGGTGGAAGGAGGTGAGGGCATGGGCCAAACAGTGTAAAGAGGAGAGAGCGTTAGCCGATTGGTGTAAAGAGGAGAGAGCGGGAGCCGAACGGTAGTTAATATCCTAACTGCTTGGCGTGAAATTAATTGCATAAATAGAGCTATGATCCATAGTTAGAGGGACTTTTGACAGTTAGTTGTTTTAACAGGAACTTTTAGTCCTGTGGGGGAGGTTAGGCTCCCATTGATTGCTTGTACATTGTATCTTACCAGTTTTGAATATAAGAAATCCATTCTTTTGTCTTCTGTGTGTGAATAGTGAGTGTGGGAGTGGCTATCTGGTTTGGTTTCTTACCCAGAAACCTAACAGAAGTTGTACCACAATGAAGGCAATGTATTTCTTTTTCATTAACAATACAGAATCAGGATATAGTAAGGCTGGAGATGATTGTTATTGTTAGATGTTAAGTTGTGTGTTTATGTTAATTGGGCTTAGCCCATTATGTATTTAGGGTTTAACCCTTATCTTACATTATAAATAAACTACCCTATGTGTATGCTAAACACATAAGGGAGATTTCTCCTAATCTTCTCTACTATTTCACATGGTATCTAGAGCTTAGGTTTTGTTCCAGCCAGTTCCACAGTCTCCGGTACCCATCGCCGCCGTCGTTGTCGCTGCTGCCGTCGCCGCCGCCGCCACCATCGCCGTAGTTCCGGAATCGATCGACGACCACACCATCGGAATCGTCTCGGCCGGGCGACCACCGTGGTACAAAGATCGCGATGAACGAACCACCCACGCGCCTCCACGCGCCGCTGCAAAGGTCACCAGATCCGTCGCTTCCCGCCGGCGCGTCGCCGGCGAGATCCCCGCCGACCGGGACTGTCGTGCTCGCCTCCTTGTCCTCTTTCTGGATCTGTTGTCGTTGCGTCAATTGGAGCACTTTTGATTTTTTTAGGGTTTCTCCCTCTCCATGGCTGTCCAACTTGATGATCGGAGTCGGTCTCGCCAACCAAGTAAAGGACGTCTAAAATGTGACCATTGTGGCAACATAGGCCCAAAAATTGATAGAGATGTATGCGTCAGGGAAGTCCTCCCCGACACCGTCTGCAGGACCATCCTACTTCATCAAAGGCACCCTAAATACCCTGTACTATTTCAGGAATTTCTCAGATGGGTGAGGACGTCAGACCACTCTAGTTCCCACTTACAAAAACTGCTTTATTAATACGCACAGGTACTCCTTTTGTTGGTCTGACTCACTCTCTCGGATTCTTGGGTCCTTGACTATCAGGCGCCCCACCGAATATATCACTGGTACAAAGTACTTGTTTCTACTTGTCATGTCCGGATAATTACCCTCGTAACGATGGCTGAGGTCGAGTCTCATCTCATGTATTGGTTACTGTTTCATATTTTTCCGTCCAATCCATTGATAAATGTACTTTCTGTCCTGGGTCTACTTTTAATTTATTGTCAGTTTAAGTCGTCTAACTCGTTCCCTTAATTGTGTTATTTCATTTACCAAAGATTCTGTTTGGTTGCAGGACCGAATTCGAAACACAATCATGATTGGCACAGGATGTGGTCTCATGCCTATATCATTCTCAGCCCTTCTCCACATGCTGGCGTCAATCTGGAAGCTACCAATCCCTTCTTAATGCTCAGTTAGGTCATCCAGTCTTGCAAACTGCCGCAATTGTTCCGAGTCTATCGAAATTATCAAGTTTTGTCGGGTTGAGTCTGTCAGGTAGGTAAACATACTCGTAGTTCCTTTCATCGTAGGTTTCACAACGAGCGGTAATGTCCCCCGTTTCATTGGTCATTCTGAGATTTGGGGACCTAGTAGTGTTTAAGTCAACTTTAGGATTTCAGTATTTTGTTACCTTTATTGATGACTATTCCAGATGTACTTGGTTGTTTCTCATGAAGAATCGTTATGAGTTGTTTTTCTATTTTTCAATCTTTTTCAATGAAATAAAAACTCAAGTTTGGGGTTTCTATTCGCACTTTACGCAGTGATAATGGCCGTGAATATCTTTCTCAACCGTTTAAACATTTCATGGCTTCTCATGGCATTCTTCACCAAACCTCATGTGCCTATACCCCTCAACAAAATGGGTGGTAGGTGAGGATGAGCGCATGAATAGGAACACCTTATTGAAACAAAAACTCGTACCCTTCTCATTCATGGTCAAGTACCCTACGAGTTTTTTTGGGGTGATGTTGTTCTCACGGATGGTTATCTATCAACCGCCATGCCATCTTCCGTCTCGATAACAAAATCCCTCATTATATCTTATTTCCTCAAGACCCTAACATCCATTACCTCTTAGAGTTTTTGGGTTCTACATGTTTTGTTCATGATTTTAGTCCTAGTCTTGATAAGTTATCTCCTAGGTCTCCCAAGTGTGTCTTCTTAGGATTTCCACAATTTCACAAAAGGCTATTAAGTGTTTTTCCCTTCCCTCAATCGTCATTCATCTCTGCTGATGATCACTTTTGATGAATCTTCTGTTTTTACTTTACAAATCATCTTCTAGGGTGTAACCTCTCCCTGTGACTTGTTGATATTCCGTCTTATCTGTATCATCCTGGTGATGCTCCACCCATTTTGTCTTCCCCTCTTTTAGACTCTCATTCACCACAGGATCGTCCTTCACCAACACCCTTCAGGTTTATAGTCGCCGCAATTGTCTCCCTCATGACTCACTTCCAGTGCGGCATCCCCCTGTGTCTGCTCTGGCTCCAGCAAATGAGCTGACTTGCCTATTGCCCTCAATGAAGGTATACGCTATACCTGAACCCTTCTCCCCATTTATAAGTTCTTAGTTACCACAGATTATCTCCATCTTTTTACACTGGTTCTCAGCCATTTCTCTGTGTCAATCCTAAATCTGTGGGTGATTGCATCACTCATCCATGGATGGCGGTCAAACTATGCCTGGATGAATTAGGCTTTACAGAAAAGTTGAAAACTTGGGAGCTTGTCCTCCAATTACCATAGGGAAAAGTATTGTTGTTGGTTGTAGGTGGGTGTATGCTATCAAGGTTGGCCCTGATGGCACAATTGATCGTCTGAACAGCTTCGGACTGGTTGCCAGGCTACAACAGATTTTTGGTTTGGATTAGGTGATACTTTTTCTCCAGTGGCAAAAAAAATTACCTTTGTTTCGCCTATATTGCATTGGCCGCCTCTTCGACAATGGCTCTGTACCAAAACTTGATGTCAAAAATGATTTCCTAAATGGTGATTTGGCATGTGAAGAAGAAATTTATAGGACATCCGCCTGGCTTTTGTTGCTCAGGGGGGAGTCATCTGGATTGGTATGTCGTTTCGCAAATCATTATATGGCCTCTTAAAACAGTCTCCTCGGGCCTTTGCGTCCTGGTTTGGTAAATTCAGTTGTGTTGTTCAACAAATTTGGTATGTCTCGCAGTGAAGCGGAGTCTTCAGTGTTCTATCGCCACTCAAGTGCTGGATTGTATTTACTTAATAGTGTTATGTCGTGATATTGTTATCACAGGAAGTGACTATTCGGCATCTTCAGATGAAAACAACAACTTTGTCACCATTTTCACACCAAAGATCTTGGCAAAACTCTGGACTTTTTGGGTATTGAAAAGGAGCACATCCAATGATGGTATATTGTCATCTCTTAGAGGAAGTATGTGGTAGCACATCTTGGAGGGAAACAGTGGTTAATGAAACTGAAATCTGGTGAGGACACTATGGACCCTAACATCAAACTCCTACCAAATCAGGGGGAGCCTTTCTAATCCTGAACGGTACAGAAGATTGTTGGGTAAATTAAACTATCTACTGTTACGCGTCGTGACATTTCCTTCGCAGTTAGTGTGGTGAGTCAATTTCTAAACTCCCCATGTGAAGACCATTGGGATGCAGTGTTCACATACTGAAGGATATAAAGGATCACCTGGAAAAGGTTTGCTATATGGCCCTAAACAACGCTACAAAAATCGTTTGCTATTCAGATGTTGATTGGGCTGGTCCCCTTCTGATAGGAGGTATACTTTTGGATATTGTGTCTCTAGTGGTGGCACCTGATTATCTGAAAAAGTAAGAAGCAAAAGTGTTGTGGCAAGGTTCCCAGCGCAAGAAGCAGAATATAGAGCTATGGCATCTGCTACTTGCGAGGCTTGTGTGGCTTAAAACAATTACTTAGTGAATTGAAATTTGGAGATGTCACTCAAATGACACTTATGTGATAATCAAGCTGACTTTCATATTAGCTCTAACCCTGTTCTTCCAGAGAGAACCAAGCCAATTGAAGTTGAAATGTCATTTTAGTAGAGAAAAAATAATATCCGGAGATATCAAGACTGAGTTCATTAACTCAAGCAACCAGTTGGCAGACAATATTCCACCAAGTCCTTACGAGGACTAGAATTGACATCTTTGTTAAACAAGCTTGGAACATATGATTTATATGCTCAGGCGTAGGGGGAGGAGTGTTATGATGTTAAGTGTTGTGTTTATGTTAAGTGGGCTTAGCCCATTCTGTATTAGGGTTTAACCCTTATCTTACATTATAAATAAACTACCTATGTGTATGCTAAACACATTAAGGGAGATTTCTCCTAATCTTCTCTACTATTTCACAGTTATGATTAATATGCTTGAAAGTTGAGTTTCCTTTGTTTGCTTATGGTATTGTTTATATGGATCTTAATGTAACAATTTCATGGCAGTATAATTGATGACGATGTTCTCTTAAAAATACTTGACCTTCCCATATTGGTGATATTGGATGAAGCATACATTGAGTTTTCGGCAATTGAATCGAGGATGAGTTGGGTGAAGAAACATGAGAATTTGATTGTTCTTCGGACATTTAGCAAAAGAGCTGGTATTTTAATAATTTTTTTCTTTCCCTATTTTACACAATTAAACTTGAATTTGAATTGATATATCGTGTTTCCCCCTTATAATTTTTTTATTGTAAAACCAGTTTCCTTATGTGTGATTTGATCAAAACTCTAATAAAACTATTTTTTTCAGGCTTCTTGTGTGCATGCTAAGACATGCATTTTTTTAGTTAAAAATTTGAGATTATTATATTGTTCTTTATTTTATTGTAAGCAATATAATCTCTGCGGTTTCTTTTTGTTATGGAGAATTATGATAAGGGTTATTATATGCGTACGTGAAATTTGACCTAGTGGTTTTTGGTTAAATTTGACATAACCAATAATATGCGTACGTGAAAGTTTTATCTGCTAAAGTTACTATAGAAGAAATGGTGGGGGACAGGGTCAATGAATCATAATAGCAATTTCCGTTAAATATGACACCCATTGTGACTGATTGCAATTTTCATGGAATTTGCAATGTGAAGCCGTTGTGTGGTAATGGATCAGCATAGGTCCAGACTGCTATGGTGCTATACCACCAGTAGCCTATATTCAACCTCTGAATTTTAAGTTGAATGTTTGTTTTTAGTAGTGTATAGTAGTAAATTGACTTGGCACCAATATTTTGACAAAGAAAGCGCATAGTAGCAACAAATAAGGGGGTGTTTGATGATTATTGAAATTAGGAGTTTTTAGGTGTAGAGGGGGAAGAGACATAAATGAAACAAAATTGGTATTAACTGAGGTATATTATATTGTGTTGATTTGTGCATAATCCTAATATTAATTAGGGAAAGTGTTTGAGTGAAATCCTACATTGACCGGAGATATAGTCAAATTATGTTATAAATAGGTGCAAACCAGTCTTGTGAAGTTATGGATCTATTGTGTCACTTGCTATTGAGCCATTATTAGGTCACTCCCAAATGTTTAGTTCCATGCTTGAGATGTCCAATCCTTGGCATGAGGAGCTGTGTAGGAGATTCCACATCAATTCAGGATAACTAAATTATATAAATGAGTACAAACCTCACCGATTTATAGAATTGAGTCAATCCTAAGTCTACTTTCTAAGAGAAACAAATGATGTGATAAACAAATATAATAACCAACAACCCTAGGAGATTATGTGATATAGGCCAACTAATCCCAATGGATAATTTAGGAAATTTTAAGTTATAAGATATTTTCATATATTCTAATACCCTGCTCGCTGCAGCTTTCTGAGCTTTGAGCTTCCTATATGCATACCGGTTGAAAAAAATCGAACTATATTTTTGTGATTGTAGAATGGTGGGTCAAGATGATTTGCTTGGGAAGCTGCATGGCCAGGATGATTCTCTAGGATAGCCATGTTGAGGCCAGGCTGATTTTTCTGGGAAAGTCATGGGGCTAGGGTTGATTCCTCTGCAATCCCACACTGAACGATTTGAACCAAAGAGGGCAAGGTCAACAAGGAGAGAGAATAAAAGGTACCAAACTGTGGCAAAAAAACATGAGAAAGGGGACACAAGCCAGAAATTGACAAACCATGTGTAGATTTGGGACAGGATGGCTGCACAAATCTGGCAATGGAGAGATCAGCTGAAGCATAGCCATGGTATACTGCTGCACATGGCAAATACTGCTGCTGAGTATTGTTTATGTGTGAACTCTGCTTTGGCTGGCCTGATAGGACCAGCCTAGACCTGACAGGGGATGGTTGGAAATGTAGCCGAAAATAGTGACTAGCGAACAGTGGCAAGAGATGTTGAAAAAGGTCACAGATGGCAAAATAAATGTTTGAACTTTGTCAGATTGATGAGATGGTAGTCAGCGATTGGTAACAGTGTTCACAAACTACTTGGAACACATTGGATTGAATCACAGATGGAAATTATCTTAAAACATGTTTTTTGTTGAAGATCTTGAAATCAAAGAAGATTGGATAGAAGCTCTTTATGACACTGGTTGGAGTGAAGAAGGGCCAAAGTAGTTGTATTTAGTCTATGTAGTAGGATATATGATTGGAACGGGAAGCAGAATGTTTATGATGGACCTGGATGACTTTCAGTTAGTAAATGTTTTGTAGACCTCAATTCTTAGGAGCAAAGCTGAATAACCAACAGCACCTGTTAGGGGTTAGAAGGTATATGAAAGGAAAAGGTATAGGAGAGGAGGAGAAGACCGAACGGTGGGGGAGAAAGACCAAGCCGAACGGTGGAAAGGGGGGAGAGGACAGACCGAACGGGGACAGGAGGAAGACCTGATCGAACTGGGGCAGGAGGAAGACCTGATCGAACTGGGGCAGGAGTAAGACCAGACCGAACGGGGAAAGGAGGAAGACCAGAGCCGATCAGTTGAAGGGCGACTACCCTAACTGGGACAGCAGTTAGGGTAGGCGGGAAATATTTAGTAATTATAGTAAATAAAGTTATATCCTAGGGAAATATTGTTAATTACGGTAATTAGAGCAATATCCTAGGGAAATATTGTTAATTACGGTAACTAGAGCAATATCCCAGGAAAATATTAATTATAGTAACTAAAGCAGTATCCTAGAGAAATATTCAATATAAGCTTATTACAGTAATTAGAAATATATCCTAGGAAAATAATAGTATAAATAAAGCACTGATGCTATGGGTTAGGGCATGCTTTTGATTATTGAGTTTTGTAAAGGAGGTTATGCTCCCTAGTGACTGAAGGAGGTTATGCTCTCAGTTATTGTTTGCTTTCTCTGATTGAATTATTTCTATCAATAAAGGAGATTTATTCATCCATTATCTATTGTCCATTGTTCTTTGCGTGTGAGGGTGTGTAAGGTGTGTTCTGGTTATGATTCCCACTTGGATACGTAACAGCACCACTCTACAAATCAAATTTTCTTTCTAAATTTTCAGTTTATGGATTCGATACTGAGTTTTTATATGTTTGTTGAATTAATATGTGCAAAATCCTGTTACTGATGGTTAGTTACTTTTTAACTTGGGGTCCTGGTACTAATGATGTAAACCTTTAAAATTCTTAATTTTCAAATTGTCTCAGGTTTAGCTGGACTTCGAGTAGGATACGGAGCTTTTCCTTTGAGTATAATTGAGTATCTTTGGAGAGCA